GCAGCCTCAAATTGCGACAGGAGGGGGAGATAAATACTGCCCAATGTGGTTTTCTCCTTGCATTCCAGCTGTCAATTCCTGAAGCATGGTGCCATTAGTTATAGGTATGGGTGACAAAACTTGGTCCGGCGGATTGGACTGACTTTAACATCTAGGTCCAATGGGTGGAAAAACGGTTTCGAAATGCTTAGAGCAAATATAGACAGGAGGGAGGCTATGTAGCAGCTTTCCCACTTATCTTCTTGTCTTGACGCAAGGATTATTCCAGGCAATGGGGGCGTGGCCAAGTGACGGTGGAGATCACATACTTAGCTTTGCGGCAATGGGGCGTGGTCAAGTGACAGGTGGAGATCACATAACTAGCTCTGCGGCAATGGGGCGTGGTCAAGTGACAGGTGGAGATCACATACCTAGCTCTGCGGCAACGGGGCGTGGCCAAGTGACAGGTGGAGATCACATAACTAGCCAGGCTGCACGTAGGTGGCCTGACGTCTTCCGGTACATTTGAATATCGGATCGACGTGATAGAATGCCCAGCCCCCTACCGCTGTGACAACCCCCCTCCCTCGCCCCCCCCCCCCCACACACACACACACAACACACAGCTGTGACAACCGTGCATGCAACCGTGCATACATGTGTCTCTCGCTCGTGATAGCATCAATGGGTCACTTAGTAATTGGCCACTGATATGACTGCGTGATGACCACAAACTGAAGATTGGGACTAATTCATGTGAAAAAAACTGTCAATGCCTTTATGTGACTCTGTCGGCACGCAAGACACCCTATCTAAAATGCTATACATAGAGACAGCTTACGTATATCCTATGCAAAGTGATTGCCCCTTAGACCAGGTGGAAATTGAACTCGCCCCTTAAGAAAGTCTCCAGAATAAATGACAATCTAAAATCGTTCGCTCACAACGGATAACCTTTTTATTATTCACAATGGCACAAAAAAGGTATTTTAATTGTATGAAAGCAGTATTAAGTCTTTGTTTTTTTATTAATCAGAAAAATAGGGAAAAAATCACAGAAAAAATGATTTGGAAAATTCCATATTAATCGTCAGTTCTATTAAAACATGCAACCGTATAACTACCCTTGCCAAAATATCAGGCATGCTGCAAGCTATCTGGCAAATTCATTGCAAATTTGCTACAAAAAGGGTGGTGCGTGAAATTCTTGAATAGTTTCTTGCAAATTTACTGCAAACTTAATATGTTCTTGCAAATTTGCTGCTAATTTGTTACAAATTTGCCAGAACATAAATACTTTTCTTGCAAACCTACTGCAAACATAAGTTGTTATTGCAAGTTTGTTGCAAATTAGCAGCAATACAATTTTTTCTTGCAAACTCCTGCAAACTAGTTGTTGCAATTTTGCTGCAATATAGCTGCAAACTTTTCATTTTGCTAAGGGTGGCTTATTCACAGTTGTCTCTAGGGAATAAATTAAACCTGTGTAAATAATTGTCGTTTTTCTTGAAAAAGTCAAATCTTTTTAATGAGCACATGACAGCGGTTTCTGCCCACAGAGGATTCTCATTTAGAGAACCTATCAGAATAATTGGTCTGTGAAGGCCTAGGTTCTCGGAAGCTAGGCAAAATGAAAAGTGATCCCCGGCCACTAATAGTTTCCTGTCAATACTTCATTAAAGCAAAAAATATGATTATTTCAATTTTAAAGACGTTAATTTTTTCTGTTTTTGAAACCCATTTCTTGCTTGCCCTTTTTTTACTGATACATGGCTACATACTGCATCTCGACTGCGCGTTAATTGGTATAGTTAGGTAAACGTTGCTTTGATCAGGCTTATGAAAAGTGATGATCAGGCACACTTACGTAATTTGAATGCAGGAATTTTGATTAGTGGAAATTTCTAGTTTACACAACATTTTTCAAGCACTTCCCTCCATCGAGTTCCTATCTAAAAACACCTTTAAATACATGTAAACGCATTTTAACCCCGTTTTTTTTATTCATTAATTTGTCATTTGAAGAGTGAGCGGTTACACTTTTACCAAGCGACCTCTCCCTTTACTGACTGTGTGACGATCACTACATTGAAATACATTAATACTACTTACCAGATACTGCTTAATGTGCTAACTGCAACTACATGTACTTCAAACTGCAGTGCCAATTCTTACACTGTTAGATTATCAGTACACTGTTTTATCACTCATAGAATAATGGGTTTGATTTGAAACCCATTGTTGAGATTGAAGGCACACCAGCAATTTTTGAGCTGGGACTTCGGATTTCGCCAAAGGCCTGTATTTGGCCAAATATCCCCCCCCCCCCTAAAAAGTTTTTTAGAGCACAAAATTCCTTTTCTGTTGCTGCATTCATCGCCCCCACTCGTTTCTGAACTGTCAATGTTGCTGCTTTGTAAATTGGTGAGAAATAGCGACCGGTTTCTCGCCGTAACTCCGGTAGTAAGTACATTTAAGATATCATCAAAATTGGCATGGTCGACAACAAGGGTGTAAACTACAGCCCGGTGCTAGCGTTTGGTTTCAAATCTATTTGTTTAAGAAACATGAGCCCCAAATTAAGATGTTCCATTGAACAAAGGCATCATATCGCCTCTTTACTGATAAAATCGGAAGTAAGACTTTCAAGAAAATTGACTGGCACCGGATTTTAGTAATCCTTGTGTTGGAAAAAAAAACGGCAAAACGGTGTTGACGGCTGCCCGGTAAGGAAGATCTATTTAAAAATGATATTATATTTTTATCCCAAAAACGCTGCTGTTACGTCATCAGCTCGAATAAGCAAATCCGCCGGGTATTTTTCAGGCCTACCCAACTACCAGACTCGGCACCGAATGATCCTGAATTCACCGGTAGATCAAACCATACTACCAGTTTTCAAGGTGTGTGTCAGATCTCATTACACAGTATCATACCCTGAACAAATTTTGAGTGGTGATGCAATCCTTTTCAACCTCGCTGAGAATCGTCACTATCACATCGCGTACTAGGCAAGAGCTGTGTCGCGTCCGATACTGTGAAATGCGTACTGATACACACCTTGAAAACGGGTAGTGTGGTCCGATTTACCGGTGAATTCAGGATCATTCGGTGCCGAGTCTGGTTGTTGGGTAGGCCTGTTTTTGATGCAACAGCATTATCGTATAACATTGCAATGTTTATTTAAGCGTTATCTAAATCCTAACGTACCGAACCCGTTTAATTCTATTACTTGGAAAGGCTGTAACATACCTTTGGGAGGTTAGTTCTTAACCTTTGCTATATGCAAGGAAAATAAACAGATTTGAGCCTTGAAAAAAATGCCCCCTTTTAAATTGTAGGTGTTTTCCGTTTGTTTTATTTCCCAACAGTATCTATATTCATAACATTATGCGTTCATTTCTATTAAAAAAAGAGTCAGTAAGTCCTTTATGGCCTTTGAATGATTTCAATTTATTTAAAACTATCGACATGTTATCCAACATTCAGCAACCGAGTCTTATTATGTGATATATTTTTCAAGCCAAACATGTTGCTATGTGAGTCACCCACCACAGGAACAAGGGGAATTGCGGGGGAGAGCGAGGCTCACGGTAATGGCATAGCCTTTGACAAGTCATTAGCAGAGACCTCAAGAGTCCCTGTTGACTTAATGCTCTTCCTGGGCGGAAAGGCTCTGATTCAACAGTAAGTAAATCCCTGGATGTATACCCAGATGTCTGCCCCGCCTATTTTGCACTGACTCAGTTTTTAGGGCTCGTTTCCTATGAAACTATCGATCTCCGTTTATCGCTCCAACTCTGAGGGTACTGTCGCTGAATGCAATCAGTTTAACACGCCTCCTCTTGTTTCCAACGTATTCGTATAATCACCAGCTTTCCTGCATTCTACTCAACGCCAGGAGGAGGCATGTTAATCTGTTAATCTGTTAATCTGATTGCATTCAGCCAGAGTCCCCAAGGAGTTGGATTGGTCTACGTAGAACGATATTTTCGTTGAGAATGAGCCCTTAGCGTTTGAAAAGCAAATTGTTTCCAAGTAGGCATTGTCATGTCCTGGCTTATCTCAGTCTCCCTGTTTATGGAGACACACCACCAGGAATTGTAAATTGCTGTTGTTAAAGGAACGACGCAATAGTTTTGGTATTTTCGGTACATTTTGTTGCCGTTTTACTTAAAAATATCCATCAGTTGGTTAAGATTAAAAAGACCAAGGATTGGGGTTTGACGCCTACAGCTTCCATACTCAAAAACACTTCAGGAACCTTTTAATGGACGTTATTTGTCTTCAGAAAAGTTGTGGTCATTTTCCTGAAAACGTCACATGAGGGTATTTCGGGTGAAAGTGTATTTTCGTTATCTTGAAAATCTCTACTATATATGTACCTGGGCTTTTAGCAGAAAAACGACAGTGGCAAAGATAGAGCTGTGCGGAAGTTGGTGCGCACGATTTTCCTTAAATTGCTCCCTTTTGATTTTAATATCTTAACATTACACAAATTCTCCAGGGGCTTTTGTAAGCACGACCGCATAACATCGGCTTAAAAATGCTACCAAATATCTCAGCTATAAGTTTATTCTTTATACTTTTGTCAATTACTGCACCACTTTTGGCAATTTAAACTGAAGCAGTGATGAAGTTATCTTCCAAATCGATTGCTACCTTCTCCCTATTAGGAATATTAAGTTATGGGTGACGGGTATAAATGACACCTTAGAATAAAAACTGCTATCGGTTATCGATGTGTTTATCACCGGAAATTTCACTTGGCCATCTGTAAACAGAATTGACCATTTCATCATATAAGAATATACATATGATATGTAAAATGTAAAAAAGATATGTAAAAAGATAAGAAAAAATCTATGAAATAATCTTTCAATGTGTGTGACACTCCCCATGGACAAAATTACGTAATTTTGTCCATGCCCTCAAAATACTGCATAAATAATAGGGCACGTGTTATCTGGTCGTTATGGATAATGATATGAGGGTTGCGTTGCTCTTGGCCAGCCTATGAACTGGTGTTGCTGTTTCTGGCACTACGGTATAGGTATATAAAGTAAGAGCTGATCGCTCAGTATTAGCAAGCTGGTCAACGTGATACATGGCAATGGGCATCTCCAGCGGTCGAGTGGCAATTGCCGCACTTGTTGCCTTGTTTTCCTGCCAAATATTGGCAACCAAAGCAGGCAGTTTTTCCACGCTTTACGCAGATTCCTTCGGCGATGAAGACGTAGACAACCTCCCATACCAGGACCTAACTCAAGGTACGTTTAAGATTCAACTATGATCCAACTTTAATTAAAAATGTAATATGCACGAAATAGTGTAAAGTTCCAATGTAAGCAAGGTAAGTCGTTGGCGTTTCATACATACGTATATGGATCTTTGAATGTTTCGTTTCATTTGATCCGACACAGAATTAACAAGGTTTCGGGGTTCCTTCATTTCTTTTCAATTTATCTTTCTCTGTGTGGATACCTTCAATCTGAAAGTTAGGTTTGTTTGCATCACATGGAAGTTAAGATAAGCCAATTTTCAGAGTGAAGCGTTTTGATTGTATGTAAGATGTTGTTCGAAAGTTCTGAACAAATACTTACTTTAAACTTACGTGAATATCAGACGAAACATTGTCGTGACCATGATAGCGTTCTTGACGCTTTTTCTCTTGAAATACAATATCGGCTCCACTTGGCACTGTGGCACTGTGTAAAAACGGGCTTTCCCTGGCAAATTTTTAAATTTTGATCGCTATAAATGTATTTAAAAAGAAATATTGTTGAAACAAGAAGTATTTTATTTTTGTCTATAATAAAGTTTACATCCTATCGGCATATTCGGCGATTTTAAGACCTAGGGACCGTTCATATGAAAAATCTATTTTCTAACAATCTAAAAATCTATTTTCGGTATCTTGTGATCACGGTCTGTGTCCTGAATACCCCACAGCGTAATAACCAAAGCTGTAATTAATTCTCGGTGCTGCCAGTAATTACGCCGCGGGGTATCCAGGGCACAGACCGTGATCACAAGATACCGAAAATAGATATTTAGATTTTTAGAAAATAGATTCTCCATGTGAACGCAGCCCTAGAGTGCCAATGGTATTAGGCTCCGTTCACATGACAAGTCTATTTTCTAAAAATCTATTTTCTATTCGCGGTATCTTGTGATCACAGTCTGTGCCCTGAATACCCCGCGGCGTAATTACTGGCAGCGCGAGCCAGTTACTTCCAAGCCTGTTATTAATTCTCGGCTGCGCTCGGAGTGATCACAAGATACCGCGAATAGAAAATAGATTTTTAGAAAATAGATTTTTCATGTGAACGGAGTCTAAGTCGACATACCAGTGCAAAAACACACACTCACAATAACACTCACAATAACAAGAAGACGATTAATCAATATCTGGAAAATCGAGTGAAAACCCCTCTGAAGCTCTAGTACACGGCACTGTGACAATATACTGCATTAGACATTACGACGACAGGCATTCGTCAGTTACTTAGCTCTATCAGCGTTTGGTTCTAATTCAAACCTCCAAATTCAC